ACAACCGTTAAAAGTTATTATTCCATTGCTTTGTAGTTAAAAATTAAACATTTTCACCTTATTCAGATTATTTGTTTTCATTCTTTAAAATTTGTCTTAGTTTTTTATTGGTGTACTATTACCATTACCAATGAGGTTTCAACATAAAAAAAGGCGATTGTCAATAACCGTTTTTACTTGGGTAATTCGATCGTTGGTGTCGTTCGAGGCCGCCAGCGCTTGTCGGCGATTTCCAGCCTTACACATCTCGATTAGATTCAGTAGTTTCACTTTTTTATGTTTGGTTCTCTGTTACTTCTAGTTGTAAATATAATAACTCTTCAACAAGATCCAGAATGGAATCTCGATCTTCTTCGTTCCTGAAACGACGATATCGGTATGCCTATCTATTCACGTCGTGATGAATTCGTTTTCGTACTACATCACCACTCAATCAAATAGAAGATTGACAGTTACACTAATATATCTCTCTTTCTCGTCTTTCTCCCTTGGCCTTCTTCTAGATCTAACGGTTTAGGGATGTCGTAGTGGATGACGGAGATGGTTCGAGATAATTAATTGTGATGTTGGTTCAGTTGTTCTTTATAATTGGGATAGGTTCCTATGATCATGGAAGCGGAAACAATGGCCGTCAACCGAAAAAAAAAAAGATAATGTATTAGGGTCTTCTTGTCGAAAACTTTTTTAATTCAAAATTTCGACATTGTATTTGATCTCGCAATGTGTCGGTTCCAATGAATAACCGCTTTGTTTCTCGGTAGAGCTCTCTCTGGTGACGTCGTTACAAAAAGGCATCTGGTGGTTCTCCAAAGCGTTTGTATATGATCGAAGAGTGCGCATAGCAATAATTAGTTTTGTATATGATGTATATCATTGTATCAAATTACTTATAGCTGTTAGGATGATAAAAAATATGTATTAATCAATTTTTTTCGAAAATTATGTATAAACTTTTAAAGATTAATGGAGTGCCAGATGTTAAAAAGAAAGAGAACAAATATATACAACAAACGAATAAAGGATATCGAATTATCCTATTTATTTTATACCCATAAAATAAGTTAAAAACAAGTTTTTATGTTGCCATCGTTCACGTGGACAGCACGTGGCAACCAAGTTTCACAACGAAACAAAAACTTATGCTACTTCCTACGACGATCAAAAACAAAAATAAATAAAATAATACTTTAAATATAATTCCATGAATTTGGTTTTATTTTGTTTCTTCCTTCCTCTGACTGAAAACTTCCTCAGATCGTTTCATCTTCCAAGCGGAAGCTTCTCCTTCAATCACCGTTGACGCCTCCGATACGGTCTCTTCGTTCTTGTGATTGAACGGTATGTTGAACTTTTCGATTTTCATCAATCCCGTAGTTTGATTGCATGAGCTTCTAGGGTTTTTGTTATATCTCTCAGAATTTGTCAAAGTTGCGAAATTCCGACCGGTTAGGTGAATTCAATCATCTCGTGTTTCTGGGTTTTGCTTGTTACTTGTTACTGAATCGTTTTCATGGAGTTTTCAGAGTTGAAATTGCTAAATTCGGTATTGA